GTCACTGCTACACTGCAGTGTGTGCTCCATCACAGTCACTGCTACACTGCAGTATGTATACTATATCAGTGTGTGCTCCATCACAGTAACTGCTACACTGCAGTATGTATACTATATCACAGTCACTGCTCCATGCAGTGTGTGTACTCCATCACAGCCATTGCTATACTCAGGTGTAAGTCAGGTTCAAGAGCATGAAAGATGCGGTCTGAGGCAGAGGGATTTGGGGTACTGACATGGAGCCTAAATGATGACTACGCCTGTTGCCTGGCTGAGGCCTGGCTCATGGCTGAACACTAAGGTAGATGGAGGTACAGAGAGGTATCTGCTTGTGGGAGCTGCAGTTTGGGGACCACACATCTGAAATCCTAGTCAGGGTTCAGAATGGAAGGACCTATGCTTTGTCTGGGGGAAACATGACACGCCATGTAAGACCACTAGGTGCCCGACTGGCTTTCAACATAGAGCAGACGTGTTATATATATGTCATGCTGCAAAGCAGGCTTTCCTGTGGGAGAGGGACCTGGCTGTAGACCATTGAGTGTCCCTGGGGGTAAGGGACTAGCAAGTTCATTTCTAGCCATGAAGATCCAGAGAACTACAGGCTGAGTGAGTGCACAGCCCACCTCTGTGTACTGGGCTCTGGCAGATCAGGATGGAAGTGTCTGGTGACAGGCGGGAATTGTCTCAGGCTGCCTGATCCTGCACGGCTAAGTTGAAGGATGGGGGCAGAAGCTCTAGAAGTAGACGCGATACCTGTTTATTTCCCCAGCTAATAGACCTGCACTCATGCACTTGGAGAAATGCTTCCTGCTGAAAACCAAAATGAAACAAAACAACAACAATCACAACAACACGGCCCTCCAAAAAAACTAAATAAAATTAAGTGATTAGTCTTCATCAGAGACCTTTGTTCCCCTCAGTGTGGGAATGAGGCTGGCAAGCTGAGGCTCCATATGAAACCAGTTTCTTAGCCTTGTATGATTAGTGAATTTATGTGTCTAGTTGGTTTCAAATGCTGATCCCTAGGACTCTGTAGGTACCCCTGATTGTGAAAGTAATGTACGCACCACAGTTTGGGAACCATGGTTTTCTATGCCGAGGCAAGGGAAGCCTGACGTGAAGTGGAATAAAGAGCACATTTCAAGAGAGGAAGAGTTAAATATTAAATAAGGGCTGAAGATCTAGCTGGTTGTGAGATACTTTCTCTGACTTCAGTTATGGTCGGAACAGCCTAAGGCTGGTATAGGCTTCACTGGGCTGAAGACCCATATGCTTATAAGAGCTTTTGGTGAAGAAAGGCCCTATGCACACTTCAGTGCTTGTTAGAGAGGGCAAAGGGCAGCTCTAACAGCTGATGCTTCTGCATGGGCCTCATTTTGTCTCAAGCCCCCTCTGTGCCCCTCTGAATACTTGCTTTGAACTCAGAATAGTTGTGGGCGGTTAATTCAAAGGTTTTGACTGGGAAACATCTTATCCTGAAGAAATGGCCCTGGGACAGGTCCCTGGGTCCCAGAGATCAACTTGCAGAAATGATCTCCAATGGAATCCCTGGCAGAGTCCCAGACAGTTTATGGCCCACATGGAAGCTGGCTGGCTTTCAGCTCCGCCGAAACTATACGGGGTCAGCACCCTCATCTGACCACACTCAACACCCGCAGTAGGTGGTGGCCAGATAATCTGAGTGTTAGCTCATCTCCAGGGGCACAGATAAATGGGGAGGAGGGGAGAGGAGAACTTCTGAGACCAGCAGGCACTTCGGCCAAGTTGTACTTTCATGACACATGCACAAACTGCCACAAACCCTGATCTTCAGGAAATCAGCATCAACCAGCATCACCTGGCACGCACAAGGCCTGCGTTCAATCTCTAGCACCCTCACAAAATTATCCATAATGGGGTGTTGTCATACATAGTCCATGAGATCGCTTAGACCCTGAGAAGGCAGCTGTGCCATGACGCGCTGGAGGCCTTTGATACCAAGCCAAAAGTGGCAATCGTGGAGCTCCCAGGAAATAAGAGATAACACTGACATCCTGGCTAGCCTGAGTCTACAGGTTTTCCTAAGACCACATGGGGGGTAAACTGAAGATGGAATCTGATTCTTTCCTAATTCCCCAGTGCTGGTCATAAGCAGAATCTGGCCAGTCAGCGTGGTACCTACATTGCATCCACAGTTCACTTCCAGAAGGTGCTTCCCACTGTGGGGCAGCTCTATGTTTGCTATCGTCTGTTGCAAAAACAGATTTTGAGCACAGCTGTGCTGGTTAGTTTTATGTCAACTTGAGAGGAAGGAACCTCCATCGAGAAAATGTCTCCAGAAGATGGGGTTGTAAGCCATTTTTGTAATTAGTGACTGATGTGGGAGAACCTAATCAGTTGTGGGTGGGGCCACCACTGGGCAGGTCATCCTGGGTGCTGTAAAAAAATCAGGCTCAGCAAGCCGCGGAGAGCAAGCCAAGAAGCAGCATTCCTCCATGGCCTCTGCTTCAGTTCCCGCTTCCCAGTTCCCACCTGGTTTGATTCCTGCCTTGGTTTCCCTTAGTGGGCTGTAACACTGGATATGTGGGTCAAACAAACGCTTTCCTCCCTAATGTGCTCTTCTGTCATGGTGGTGGATCACCACAATGGGGACCCTAAAGTAAGACAATGACCTTCTGCTTAATGGTACCAGCTGTCCCTGGCTGTCACCCATGTGACGGCACAATCTCTTCCTGGAATCATCTCCTTTTGGAAAAGCTAGGTGCTCTGCTAGTGAGCAACCATAAAGAAATTCTGGGGAGGAACCCTGAGGTGGAAGGCATGGGACCAAGAGAGAGGGGAAGAGGTAGGGAGATGGCTCAGTCAGTATAGTGCATGCTCCAGTTATTAATGTGCATGTTCCAGTGAGTACCGTGCATGCTCCAGTTATTAATGTGCATGTTTTGTCAGTATCGTGCATGCTTCAGTCAGCAACATGCATGCTACAGTGAGGAACGTACATGCTCCAGTTAACAACATGCATGCTTCAGTCAGTAACGTACATGCTACAGTCAGTTGCATGCATGCTCTAGTCATTAATATGTATGCTTCAGTCAGTAATGTGCATGCTCCAGTGATAAATGTGCATGCTCTAGTCAGCAATGTGCATGCTACAGTCAGTAACACGCATGCTCCAGCCAGTAATACACATGCTACAGTCAGTAATGCACATGCTACAGAAGCACACGGAGCTGAGTTTGGATCCTCAGCACCCATGAAGAAAGCCAGGCATGACATCAAGCATGTCTAATCTCAGAACTGCAGATGAGGGCAGAGATAAGGGAACTGCTGACATTTACTGGACAGCCAGCCTAGCCAAATTGATAAGCTTCAGGTTGTGTGAGAGGCCCTGTCTCAAAGTGTAAATGTAGACAGCAATCAAGAAAAGACATCGGCTGCTGACCTCTGGCATCTACACACATGCGCACAAATGTGTGCCGGAATGCACATTTACATACCCTCAAGAACATGTTCCTTCACCACATACACACACTATATAAACACATCACACATATCCGTATACACAAATAAATGAACAGATGAAAATAACAGTAAAGACAAAAAGGCCTTGTTAGCAGGGAGCCTTGCAAATGCCCCGGAGCCAGAGGCATCACCTTCCACCCAGGTCCTGGGAACAAGACTAATAAACCTACTAAGATGCCAGCTTAAGCCAATGTCCAGGGCCAGCACTCACCATCAGATGCAGTGGCACCGTGGTGGGTCCCTTGGCTGAAAACTTCTCCCATAGGCCTCTTCTCACATAGCGAACGGTCGTACCTGCAATCTGGAACTCTCCCGGGAGCTCTATCTTCCAGTCACTGTTGATGGACCTCTTACTGGAGTCTTTGAGAGCTGCAAAGGAAGTTGAGCATTGGAAAATCAGTACCATTGAGCCTGTCCTCAGAGGGATTGTGGGGGTCCTGCCTGAGTCTGAGGCCACCATATGGGCGGGCAGGAACCAGCAGTGAGAGAACGGTATTCTCTGGGCACCAAGGACAGAAGGTTGGGTCACAGACAGCAAACTTCTCTGGTTCCCAGGAGAAAGGGTTGTGGGGGCTGATGGCACATCTTCCAGCACATGCCTATCCCTCTGCTGATTCCAGGAATGGGATTAGGGGAGAGGCTGGAGGCTGGAGATGCCCGGATCCAGTCCAAACCTATGGCAGGAGACGGCTTCTTGCCTGATGAAAGAGTTCTACACTGGTATATTCAAGGCCACAAAACATGTCTTGGAGCTTTGGCAAAACTCACCCCATTCATTTGATATTAAAAAACCTATTAACAAGTATTAGCTGTATTATTTTGGGGTTCAGTATGAGAATTGATTATGCGTATATTACATATATCAATAATGACTGTTCCACATTCCACGTGTGAAAGAGAACGCACAGGACTTGTCTTTCTCCGTCCAGTTTACTGTGCAGCACACAGTCCCCTACAGTTCCACCCTCTTCACTGCCAAGGACAGGTTAAAGATGGCCAAGTGACCAACATCATCTCGAACCCAGTTCTGCTCAAACCCCTAAGCAGCTGAGTGACCTTGAACTTCTGATCTTCCCAGTTACACCTCCCTAGTGCTGAGGTTACAGGTGCACGCCATCATGTCCTGTTTATACAGGGCTGGGGTCTGAACCCAGGGCTTCCTGTGTTCCAGGCAAGCACTGTGCCAATCCTCAGGAGCTTTAAAAAGCTTTATTTACTTTTCTATTTCTATGCACATGTGTGCATGTTCCTGCATGAGTTCATGTGTATCGTGTGGAGGTAGAGCCCCAAGAGATCAGAAGAGAGCACTGGATTGTCAGGAATGAAGTCATGGTCAGTTGTGAGGCACTGTGTGGGAAGCAGGAGTTGAACCAGGGTCTTCTCCAAGAAGGGTGAGTACTTTAACCCCCGTACTATCTCTCCAGCTGCCTCCCCCACCCCATTTGAGACAGGCTTTTCCACTGTAGCCCAGGATGGCCTGGAATTCACTTCTTGCTTTAGGTATCAACCATTCTGCTCGACTTGATCCTTCTTTAAGAATAAAATGTAAATACCTTACACGTATTAAAAAGAAATAACCTCAAACCAAATCAAACCCAAACCAAAATCAAACCCTCTAACCCAAACTCCTCACTTCCACGAGTCACTGGGGAGATGTAAAGCAGCTCACCCTTGTCAGCACGTGCCCAGGGACAGAACAAGAATTAGCAAATGGTAGCAAGGACAAGAGGAAAATCCCACACGGTGTGGCTGGGAATGCACATGTCTCTGGCTATTATGGCAAATCCACAGGAGAAGCACGGAGCCAGCCCAGGATCTATCTGGCCTCCCCACTTGCGGTAAATACCCACAGGAGATGACAGCGCCATGCAGAGATGTGCTACAGCAGTACTCACGGCAGGCAGAGCACAGAATCAATCTAGATGCCAATTGGTAGATGAATAGATAAAGAAAATGTAGAATACGTGCACAAAATGGAACATTATTTGGCCATGAAAAAAAAATGTAAACATCCATCCATTTTACTGTTAGCTCCCTGGGCCTTTGGGACAGCAATACAACTCCAGTATCCTCCAAGGATCCGACATCCCCACATTGGGAAAGCGACACTATTCTGTTACACACTTAGGCATGGAAACCCCCAGCTCCTCACAGAGGTGGTGATAACACTTGGCATCTGCCAGGAGGGGTAAGGGCTGAGCTCTGGGCATTCAAGGCCCACACTCTCTTACTCTCACCTCTGAGGCAAAGCTTAAGGGCATCCACACACTGCCACACCCACAGTACAGAGTGGGGTCACATGGCCTTCCTGCTTAAGAGAACCTCTGCGGTAGAGTTCTGATGCCCTTTGCTATTGTTGTTGCTATTTAGAGAGAAAAAATCACTGTATGAAAAACAAACACACACACAAAACAACAAACAATCAGGATATACTCTGGTACTTAGTAGCTGACAATAAGTCTCATGGTCATTCTGCAAAATGAAACTCCCACGCACTCTGTATGGAGTCCTAATGCCCCTTGCAAAGTGACTTCTCCATGTCACTTTGGAGCCCCAGTTTACAGCCAATGACTTCAGAGACCCTTCCACGTCCCATTATCTGCCTGCTCAGACTAGCAACTAAACAACGCACGGAACACCAGCTTTGGATATGGAGACTCAAAAGGGGTCCCTGGAAGCTGAATCTGTCAGCCATGCTGGGTCAGGAGCCCGAGGGGGAGGTCGGCTCAGACAGGTGGCTGCAGCATACGTTGGCTCCCTGGTCTATGTGATGCTACAGTCCCAGAAAATGCAGCGGGGGGAGCTAGCATGGGGCATTTTGACTGTGCAGCAGCCAGTACAGGCAGGGTACTGTCCAACATGGTGATATATTGGTGGGAAGCATATCCCAGGGAGGCTGAATACAGGGACTCCGGGGAGGGGTCAGGGAAGAGAACACTCTGCTCCTCGGAACAGATCTTCTGGAGACTTTCTGGCTACTAAAAATGAGGGGAGATCATAGGTCCCCCAGGTTTTCTCTTCCAACATCAGCTCTTGCAAACCACTATTTAAGAAGCACCCCTTCAAGCACTCTTACCCATTAATCTTCCCAAGGGCTCTTGGGTTTATTCTCCTCACATGTCAGATGAAGAAAAAGGAAGCACGGGGAGGTTAAGGAACTTGCCGGAAGGCACTCAGCTATGAAGCGGAAGCAACGAGACCCGAGCCCAGCAGACCAAACCTCACACACTTGGCATAGTATCTCCAGGTGAAAGTGACAGGGACGTTTGTCGTCTTTCAGCTCCACTGGAGGTTTGGGAAGTCACCTCTTGCTCATGCTCATATATCCTTGACTGGAGGAATCACCGTGGGCTGGTGGGAAGTTCCAGAACAGAAAGATGAGGGGAAAGAGTCCTCGAACAAAGAAGGAGTTGAGGATGTCCATGGGACAGCAGGGCGAGCCCTGTCCGTCTCCCCCTCTATTCAGACAGTTTTCTGGTAGGGGGCTTATGATAGAATGCTGCTGTTCCCAGGGAACTCCTAGTTTGGAGGACAGATAGGTAACAAAGAGATACAACACAGCTTCATCTGCTCCACGACAGAGGCATTTTCTCGCAAGGTGGCCATCTTGACTGTCTAATTAATTTTGCTTCTCCATCGTCAAGGACCCCTCCCCCCCCCACCCCCCCCCCCCCCCCCAACCCCCGTCAGCTTCTCTTGAGAATATTTTCACTCTACTCATGTGTGACGATGTCCAGTTCTGGGCTTTGGCTACTTTTCTTCTTAGGCACTGTCCAAAGACATCAGCCTGATCTGTCGTCACGTGGGAAACCCCGAAAAGGGGACAGGAGTGTTGAGATAGGCGGACACCATTTCCTGTCACACCCTTTGAACTTCCTAGATTCAGCAGCGCCTAGAGCTGAAGCCCAGAAGCTCAGTGACTGGGGACGGGATTTGTTTGTCACGTGTGTCTTTAGGAGGCCAACCTGTAAAATTACTAGCCAAGGCAAAGGCAACGCAGACCGAGGAAGAAAAATACTCTTACGGGTTCTTCAGAGCCATCTCAGGTCTTTACAAACACAAACTCCACAGCCCAGAGACGCAGCAGGCCGAGCACTCACTCCGGGGCCACTGTTTGCATCCTGCAGTAACCTCCTGCATAGGTGACTCTTTCCTACCAGCTTCAAACCCAACGTCTCCCTGGCCCATGCCCAAAGGCCAACATCTGGGAGGGAAGGGTTGGGGGACTGTCACTATAGTAAGCTGCTGAGTCCCAGGGGAACCACAGTAGAAGCAGCCACTGATGGGGAAAGTGGAGGCAGAGCCAATAGAGGCCCTGGCTGCAGAGCCCTCTGCCCATCTGAACAGGGTGCTTAGAATAGGGGTGTTCACATTTCCTGCTGTGACTTCTTAGTGCAGGCAGAACTTGAAACAAGAGCTTCTGGGGGCATGGGGACAGCTTTTAACCTTTTTGACTTGGGTGGGAGTTACCTATCAAGACACAAGATTTCTAAGCTCCCATGTTCCCTGCAGAAAATAAAAACCAGAATTTAGCACTTGACATGCCTTTCAAAAGGTGAAACTTCAGTCTTGGGATGTTTCGGGACATCAAGGCCATTGTTGGGAGTGCACAGGTGGTTTCCATGTGGAGTCTAGTGATTCTGTGCCTTGGTGGAGCTCTCACCTCTTGTCCCCTTAGCTTGCACCAGGAGTTGCTCTCCTCCCTTCTGAGAGTAGACCTGAGCAGAATTTGTGGTAAAACTCTACTTGGGAGTTTGTCCTGAGGCCAGTATATACAGTATGCCCATTTTTAAAAATGAAGCTGCAATCCCCTCAGCTCCCAGGCATCAAACCCTCTTTGTCTGCAAGCATGTCGAGACCAAATCAGTCTGCAGTCAACACAAGGATCTGGGGACTCAGGGGAGACTCAACAAGGTGATCCAAATGACCACACATACTCAGACTTATAGCAGAGGCAGTGGGATTCCTCCAGTGGTTTGAGTTCATCGGAAAAGTCCGAGGTTCTGGTCTGTTGAGGAGATTCCTCTACCTGCTTCTGCCTGGGCCGTAGGCTGAATGTTTTAAACCACAATTCAAAAACAAGGGTCCACACTTTGTGGGCGTTGCTTCTATACTTTCAATTGTTGGACAGACTTTTTGCAGGGTACCACAGGGACAGATGTACCTTTGTATTTGGTCACTATGGCCAAACAAGATCTCTGCGTGGTCCAGAAAATAATAAGGTCACATGCTGAACATCCAACCAGTTTCAGCTCAGACCCTTCTCCAGGTAGATATTTTTCTACCATCTTGGACTTCTAGGCACCGTGAAATATGGCAGCAAGTGTTCCACGGAGCAAGGAGGGTCACTCATTGTCAGAGCTGGCTCAGAGAGGTGCAGAAGGCCAGTGGGTTCTTTGCAGCTCTCTCCCTGCGCAGTCAACTGGAAGACCTGACCCACAGTCAACCCACTTCTAATCCTGGCACTGTGTCAGTTTTTCTTTTCTTTTTTTTTTTTAATTTCCACTAGGAGTTCAGCCAGCTCTGTTCTTAGCCATGGATACAAACTATGGAGGCATTTCCTGTTCCAGGTGGTTTTGAGCAGAAAGCCAGCCAGCCAGCGTGGGCTGAAGGTAGGCGGGGGTGAAATTCTTCAGGAACTGCTCCCAGCAAATGTGAGAGTAATTCAGAATTACACTGGGTTGACTTCCAAAGCTCCCAGCCCTGAGTGGAAACACGGCCCGTTGGAGCTGACTCTAGAAACATAACGAGCGAGCATGGACCACCTTCAGGCTTACTTCCGTCCATGTGCCAGTGCCTGGAATACTGGGATTATGAATTTGGGGTAAGATAAGGGGACCAAGGCTGGCTCCAAGCTCCCATGGAGACACAGCACTGCTTCTGGGAGCCAAGTCACACAGACATTAAATCAATCTTCTTGGGATACAGATTAGCTTCTCTGCAGTGCACACAGTGAAACCTCTCCATCAGTCAATTTCTGGTCCCAGTGGGCTCCACTGGCAATTCTGAGAGGCTGCAGACTGACTAGTGTATTCAGATGGAGTGAGGAACTGGCCATGCAAGTGGGGGGCTTTTGCTTGCTATCTGTGAATCCAGCACAGCGATACTCCGCGGTATTTTGGGGTGTGGAGGTCAGGTCACTAAAACACAATGACAAAGAACCACAAACATGGATGTTACTGCTCTCCTTTGCATATGTGGTCTTTTGGCTTCCACAGGAGAGCTGACAGGACCAACAGTGACAGCAAGGCCCCTGCCCCTAGCAGTATCTGCCAGTTTTTTTTCTTGCCTCAATGTGGGTTCTAGGGAAGAATTCCTTTATATTATAGGGCTTAGATGTTGAGGATTTATTGATTCTGATAAGTCCTCTGCCATGATTATACTTCACAGAAAATCAGAAATGGAGGGAGCCTCATCATTTCATCCGGGCACATGGGGATGAGCCAGGCAGGATGGGTGCTGGGGCATCTTGGGAGCCCAGAGACCACCTGCTGAGTACCTGGGTTTTTTTTTTTTCTTTATGGAAGAACTGTTGTGGGGCGCTCAGAGCTGGGCCAGTTCTTAGACCACTAGGTGAAGGTGGACCTTGGCCTCTTGTTGAGCCTTGGTGCCCCCCTTAGGAACAGAAACATTGTTGTCCAAATGACACATTCCTACCAAGAGCGCTATTTGGGAAAGGTAAATTTGAGGGTGACACTAAGTTGCAAAACTTCTGATGCCGATACTGTGGAAGCTGACCCAGTTTCCCCAAGTGAACAGAGAGGGGTGGAGTCTCTGGGGATGTAGAAAAGACTGCCACTCTAGAAAGGCCAGTTTTAGGCAGCGATATGGAATTCCCCTCTGTGCTATGAATGTTTTATTACCATTGGTTAATAGAGAAGCTGCTTTGGCCTATAGCATGGCAGAATGTAGCCACGCTGGAAGAGATATATAGAGAGAGTAGGCAGAGTCAAGAGATGCCATGTAGCTGCCTAAGGAGAAAGATGCCAGAATAGAACCTTACCAGGTAAGTCACACCCTCGTGATGATGCACAGATTAATGAGAAATGGGTTAATTTAAGATGCAAGAGTTAGTTAATAAGAAGCCTGAGCTAATAGGCCAAACAGTGCTGTAAGTAATATAGTTTCTATGTGATTATTCGGGTCTGGGTGACAGGAAATGAAAGAGCAGTCTCCGCTTACAAGGCAGTGCCCTCCTCAGCACATACAACACTGTCACTGAAGGCTCTATAATAGCACCATTGTCTACATGACACCAAGCTCTATATGACAGAACCATGGTCTTGATTAACATGCACCTGCCAGAGATTTATTTTGTGACGGTCTCATTAGAGTTAAGCCAGGTTGTGACCATTTCTAAGAAAGGCACGGATACTTCTGTATAATCTAAAATGGCAGGAATGTGGTCTAAGACACAGCTTCTTTTTGTGTGTTAAAAGTGCAGACTAAAAGGTTTCATGGACAATTTTGATTTACCCCAAATACTGAGAAATTATATACCCCTCCCCAATACCTTGCAACACGGGATGAGAGAAGGAACCCTGAATAGGAGATCAGTCATGTCTAGTTTGAAATTTAACCCAAACAAGGATCTTGGGGCTTAGACTGACCAAAGAATATGGGTGACCACATTTCTATGCTGGTGGACCAATAGCTGAGCAGTCCCTGAAACCCTAAGGAGCGTTTGCTTTCTTCCTGAGGCCCCTGGAATCAACACTCATGAGTTAACACAGTGCTCTTACTCCCCGATGCTCAGGACCAGGCTGTTCTCTGCCAAGGGTTACTGGCAAGACTGTAATCATTCAGAGGGCCTCCTTTAGCTGGGGGTGGGGGAGGAGGTGTTTCACTGAATCAGTCCCTCGGTAGCAGCAATGAGAGCCAGTTAGGATGGAATTCAAAACTATAGAGATAGATAGGTGTACGTGCTCAAAGTCAGCAGAGTCAGTCACTGTGAGGTAAGGTACACAGAGCTCAGGAAGGCCAGTACTGCTCTGTATTGACATTCAGCCTAGGACCATCGCTCTTGACTCAGTAAGAGGCATCTACAGAGAGTCTATAGGGGCTTGCTGAGGGATAGGCCATGGGCCTACGCTGCCTGGGCTAACCGCACCTGACTCTTCAGGAGCCATTTTGGGAAACATGGCTCCTCAACACCTCATGGATTCCTCCACATTTTCATTCTCCATCCTGTCCAGAGTGATGGTTCTAATTGCCTCTACCCTCCTCACCTGCGTCAAACATACCTTAGATCTGGCTGTCTGGTCCATTTTGAGTCCTTACAGTATTACAATGAAAGCGTAGGTGTAATGCCAGGGTTAACCGGGGAGAAGGTAAATAGGGAATACGTGGCTATCCAACACTGGGAGAAGACTGGAGCCAGAGCCACCAGAATCTAGTCATAAGGATCAATTCTTAGAGCAGCAACTTTGAGTGAATGAGTTCTGTTTTACCCAGGAAACTGTGAGCAGGTTTGTCTTCTACCACGCGGATCCTCCGAGCTCCGGCCGGAATGACAGCAGCTTCGATATAACCTGCGGTGACAGATGACACACAACTGAAGCACACCTCAGTCCTGGATCAGAGGCCCCTACACAATCCCCCGTCTAAACTGCCCAAGCACGCTCCCTGTGGTGAGTTCAGAGACTGCAGGCCGACCCTGCCTGAGAGACCAATCACCAACGCACGTGGAGCTCTTTCTTCTAAGCTTGGCCATTCAGTTTCTAGAATGTTCCATTGTTAACTTGCAATTCCCTCTCTTGAACACGTATTTTTAAAGCCCAGAACCCAGTTGCTCTACAGAGGGCAATGAACACAAGTCAGGATGGAAGCCAACCCTGTAGAAATATGTAGGTATCTGTGTATGTTCCAGTGCGCTGTCATTTGGAAATAGGAGGGTTGCATATATATTTAGCTAAGACAATGTCATATTGGAATCAGGAGGGCCTTAATCCAATATGACGGGACTCCCTTTTATTAAAATTATTTACTTGTTTGTTTATTGTACGTGTGGGGGAGGGGTACCTGTGCCACACCGCATATGGCATATGTAGCTGTCAGGGGTGACTTAGGAATGTCAGTTCTTTCTTTCCACCATGTGGGGGGTCTAGGGATCAAACACAGGCCTTCAAGCACCCTTATCTGCTGAGCCATCTCACCAGCCGGAAATACCTTTGAAGAAGAAGGGATTTGCACAGGCAATGGCCTGGAGAACATGAAGGTGGAGATGTCAGTGAAGCTTCTACACACCAACCAGCACCGGAATGCCCGCCACCAAAAGCCAGAGGAGACCAGACCAACCCTGCCCACACCTTCATCTCAGACTTCCTGCCTCCAGGCAAAGAACCACAATTTCATGGTTTCTGCCACCTAGGCAGCGGCACTTTGTTAGGACTGTCTGGAATCAACATGGGTACACACGTAAGGAGTTCTCTGTCCCCACGCATCTGTCGGGGGTTCCTTCATGATCTGTCACAGTTTGACTTTCCTCTGAACATCCCCAGGATCATAACAAAAAGCCAAGGCTCATCCTACAATGGAGCTATCACCTTCCCTTGCCGTGCACCGCCTCCTGCCTCCACTGCCCTGGAGAAGATCTCTGTGACTGTCATGGCACACACTGCCTCCTTGATTATTTCTATGTAGAGTGGGACTGGGCACACTGTGGCCGGTCATGGTGCTCGGATGTGGGTAGTTAGTAACCACTCAGGATGACAGTGCCTGGCAGCTGTCTGGGAGCGAGTCAGGGAATGCCAGCTTTATTGAGAAAACTGAGCCAGTAAGTGGCCCAGTGTGGTTTTGGGATTCTAGAGAGCAGGCTGGTAAATACCTATGTTTAGGTTTGATACCGGGGTTTGCATTTACATGACCCTCTGTGAGGATGCTGCAGTCCCATGTGGGATCATGGAAACAGTAGAGGGACTTACATGTAAAAACACACTTATAGATTCCTAGGTCCAGCTACATGAAGGCTTGCCCTTTCATTATAAAATAGTGTTAAAAAATTGAAGCAACCTAATCAACCTAAAAACTAAAATTGACTTATACCACATCACACTATACAAATATTTCAATGATTTTCGGGCTTTTCAACTTGTCTTAGTGCATTTAAAGGCACACACACACACACACACACACACACGCGCACACACACACTTCTGTTACTCTGATGCTATACGTCCTTGTAAGGTACAAGGAGAATTTAAAATCCATGCACTGCACAAACATTCATGTAGAGTTAAACAAGCGTCATGTACATGAAGTAACAATAACATCGTTTTGCATGGTACAAACCCATACTTCACCTAGAGCAGTGGTTCTCAACCTGTGGGTTGTAACCCCTTTGGCAAACCTCTATGTCCAAAATATTTACATTAGGATTTATAACGGTAGCAAAATTACAGTTAGGAAGCAGCAATGAAAATAATTTTATGGTTGGGGGTCACCACACCATGAAGAGCTATATTAAAGGGACTCAGTATCAGAAAGGCTGAGACCACTGCTCTGAACCATCGAGGGTATAAATCCTGTTTGATTGCTCTGAGGTCTTGTGTTGTTGGGGAGAAAAACAACACCACAATCTCAATAGCTACATAAAAATAATGGACTAATGTGACTGTCTCTTCATAACATAAGCTCTTCAACCTCTAGGATAAAAAAAGAATTCCCCTGCCTCACAAATGACAGCACCTTATTCTCAAGGCATTTGAAATAACTTTTCAAATGGAAAAGAGTCACATGAATGCTAAACGTCATCTGTCTTTATTTAGTTATTTGATGATTGCAACAGGAACAGGTATACTGTTCTGCATTATAGTATGTGAAGGTAAGGTTATTTGCATGGAATTATACAATGGAAACAAAGCATTTTATATATAACATATTATGCAATATAACCCTAGCAGGTCAGGGAAAAGATAGAGCTCCAGACTGGACATGGTAGCACACACCTTTAATGCCACACCCAGGAGGCAGAGGTAGGCAGATCTCTGTGAGTTCAAGGTCTACATAGTGAGTTCCAGGCCAACCAAGGCTACACAGTGTGACCTTGTTCCCCAAACCAACAAAACAAAAGAGATTCAGCCACAGGGACACACTCAGAGGAGAGGCCCTTCTTTCTTTTAACACCTCCAATTAGGGCCACCATATTATGAACACTCCAGTTATTGCCACTATATTATAAATCCACGAAGCAATAGATCCAGATGTCAGGGAGGAGCGACCCCCACTCCCCACCCTGTAATTACTCCAAGTTATGTTCTATTGTTTTTCTTAAGCAGTTCTTGATCCAAGCAAGTGGACAGTGAAGACTACCCATTGCACTAACACAGTGAAGACTACCCATTGCACTAACACAGTGAAGACTACCCATTGCACTAACACAGTGAAGACTACCCATTGCACTAACACAGTGAAGACTACCCATTGCACTAACACAGGCCCCATGCTGCTTCTCTGGAGAGTTACTGGGAGATTATATATGACACAGTTCTAATTACACTAGCTACTTGTGTAGATAGGTCTGTGAGGCTGGGAGGGGCAGTGAGACAGGGAACAGGAAGTTCCCTTGGCTTACAGTGTAATTTGTTAGAACATGGGTTTACACATACCAGTGAAATCATCTTTATGACTAAACAAAAATATATGAGATAAGACTGTAGGATTTTTATGAACAATTGAATCTTAAGTACACTTTATCTCATTTATCCCTCTTATTGGGAACACCTTTATCAGTTTGATAGATGGTCACTTATATATGTCATTGCACATATATCTGCATAAATATAAATATGTATAATATTTATATTTGTCTACATTGTACATGAATGTTAGGAGTAGCTTTGTAATTCAATATCATATTATACCACAACATAAATATTTGCTATTTTAAAAACATGATCTTTCTTAAAAATTGAATTGCATTACTATATACAGTTTTGCTTCATGTTTTGTTTAAACTGCTAAATAGTTGATGGAACTATTTCCTTGGTTATAGGGATTTATACTGGTTTAAAATAGCATTAGAGACAGTGCTATGTCATGTATAAATACATGCATAAAACTTCAACAAGATATCAGCAAATTTAGTTGAGCAACATCTAAAAAGAATTGTACACTATCATGCAGTATGGCTTACCTCAAGAATGCAAGATAATCACCCATATTAATAAAAGATAAAATCTACATAATATCTCAATAGAAACAAAGAGAATAGTTGGCAAATTCAACTAGGAGTAGAAAGGGAATATCCTCAGCATGACAAAAAACCTCACAGCATAACAAATTTCAAAATACTGAATGATTTTTTTTCCCCTTAGGATCAGGGATTTTAAAAAGCTTATCTTACTTGCCTTTTCTAGTCAACAGTGTATTGGAGGATCCTAGGTAATTAGGCAAAAATAAACAAGTAAATAGATAAATAAATGAAAGACAAAGATAGGAGCAAAGAAGGTAAGATTGTATCCATTTGCAGATGCTAACATCACATGCACAACAAATCCTAAGAATAAACTAAAGTAACTATTGGAAGAGGCTCAGCAGGTTGGAAGATGTGGGACTAACTATAAAAATCAGCTACACTAGGAACGAACAGCTGAGAAATCGTTTAAGCCTCATCCAAAAACAATAAAAAATATTTCAGAATACATTTAAGACAAGATCTCTAAGTCTTCTACACTAAAGGCTACAACACATTGTTAAGACATATTAGGGAAGATCTAAGTAATTAAAAAATAACCTATGTTCATGGATGAGAAGATTTCTTTTTGGTGGGGTGGAGTGGGGCTGGGACTTGATCTAGGAATTTGCATACTCTAGGCAAGTAGGCTACCAGTGAGTTTCATCCACAGCAACACAAGACTTAACAGGAAGGGAAGATACCAAATGATCTGTAGATTTAAAGTAATAACTCTCAAAATCCCCCAAAAGATTTGATTTTGCCAAGCATGACACATTGATTTTAGGATTCATGTGAAAACGCAAGGGATCCACAATAGTCCAAACAATGTTTCAAATGAAATTGGAAAACTCACATTTCGACTAACTACATTAATCAAAAGAATGTGGTACTGGCACGAGGATAGATAATTCTATCAATGGAATATGGCTGGGAATACAAATATAAATTATTTGCTGCTTATTTAAAGCAAAGATGCCAAGAATATTCAATGGGGGAAAGAATGGTCTTTAACAAACGGTGCTGGATGATTGCCTATCCTCTGTCTCAGACCATACCTTCCCCCCCAAAAACCCAACTGACCAAAAGGAGATCACAGACCTAAGTGTAAGAGGGAAAACTACAAAATTCTGAAGACAAAGAGAAGTTAAACAAATCTTGGAGTCTATCACCGATTAACAGCTTATCATTGCCCACCATGGACAGTGACAAGGCAGTTCATAATGCCTGGGTAAATAGCTGTCAGTCATTTATCTCATCAAGAATCTGTGTTCATAATAAACAACACAATTCAACAAAGAAACAAACATCCCTGCTTAAGAAGGGCAAAGATTTCAATAGGCTTTTCTTGAAAAATGA